GTGCTCTACCTGGAGTCCAGCAGCGCGACGGCGCCGTTCTACATCGACGACGTGACGGTCGCGCTGGTCTCCGGCGCACCGGGCCTGCCGCCGAACACGACCGGCCTGTCGTCCACCTTCGAGGGCAGCACGCAGGGCTGGTTCGGCCGCGGCGCGACCCTCGCGAACTCGTCCGAAAGCGCTCACGGCGGCAGCCAGTCGCTGCTGGCCACCGCGCGCCAGGGCACCTGGGCCGGCCCGGCGTATGACGTCACGAACGTGATGTTCAACGGCTCGACCTACAAGGTGACCGCCTGGGCCAAGCTGCATGCCAGCGCCGGCAGCGCCACGTCGCAGATCAAGATCAGCCTGCAGCGCGACGCCGGCACGATCACGACGTACCACACCGTCATCAACAGCACGGCCGTCGGCTCGTCGACCTGGGTCCGCCTGACCGGCACCTACCCCGTCGCGCTCGCCAACAGCAAGCTGACGCTGTACTTCGAGTCCGCCGACACCAACCCCTTCCTCATCGACGACGTGCAGGTGGCCTACGTGCCGCCGCCCAGCATCGAGACGGGCCTGCCTTCGGTGGCACAGAGCCAGCTGGCCTATTTCCCCATCGGCACCATCGCCTACAACGGCGGCATCAGCGGCGTGCAGGCCGACCTCGTCACCAAGCACTTCAACAGCCTGGTGTCCGAGAACGACATGAAGTGGAGCTCGCTGCAGGCCCAGCAAGGCGTGTTCACCTACGCCGCCGCCGACACCCAGGTCGCCTTCGCCAAGGCCAAGGGCCTGAAGCTGCGCGGCCACACGCTGGCCTGGCATGAACAGGTGCCGGCCTGGGTCTTCCAGGACGCCAACGGTGCCGCGCTGACGCCCTCGCCGGCCAGCAAGGCCCTGGTGCTGCAGCGCGAGGTGGACCACATCACCAACGTGCTCAACCACTTCGCACCCAACGTCGCCAGCTTCTACGCCTGGGACGTCGCCAACGAGGTCATTGACGCGTCGCAGGCCGACTGCATGCGCAAGAGCAACTGGTACCTGCTGACGGGCACCGACTTCATCGACACCGCCTTCCGCACCGCCCGCGCGCTGCTGCCGGCCCACGTCAAGCTCTACTACAACGACTACAGCACGACCGACACCGCCAAGCTCGCCTGCATCCACAAGCTCGTCGCCGGCCTGAAGGCGCGCGGTGTGCCCATCGACGGCGTCGGCCACCAGATGCACATCTCGCTGGGCTACCCCTCGCCCGCCGCGGTGACCAACATGGTCCGCTCGCTGGCCACGGCCTTCCCCGGCCTGTCGCAGCAGGTGACCGAGATGGACATCAAGGTCAGCGACAACGGCCCGTTCTACGCGACCTACGAGGACATCCCCGCGGCCGTGCACGCCCAGCTCGGCTACGCCTGGCGCAACTACTTCAACGCCTTCCGCCAGCTCAACGGCCTCATCGACTCGGTCACCATCTGGGGCCAGGCCGACAACCACACGTGGCTGACCTCAGGCACCCGCGCCGAGGCGCCGATGCTGTTCGACCAGTCGCTGAAGGCCAAGCCGGCCTACTGGGGCATCGTCGATCCGTCGAAGCTACCGGGCGCCAACCTCAGCGGCAGCATCGCCACCAAGGCCGGCACGGCGGACGCCCGCGTCTGGACGCTGTCGTTCACCAACGCCGGCCCGGGCACGGCCTACGGCGTGCGCCTGGCCGGCCTCACGCTGCGCCAGACCGGCGGCGCGGCCTGCTCGCCGGTCGTGCGCACGGGCTTCCCCGTCACGCTCGGCGACATCCCCGCCGGCACGACGGCCAACGCCAACGTGACGATCGACT